AACTTCTTGCTCTGGCCTGGTGAGCTTGTGCCTCACATATGTGGGCACAGTTCTCACCCTGGTGTCCAGGTCCTCATCCTTTTCTTGTCGCCAGAAAAAGGTTAGGACTCAGCAATGGGATCTTTGGCATCCACTGCATGGGCTGCATTGGCCCAGGAGATTGCTGCAGTGGCTGCATCGCCACTCAGACAGGTTGCTGCGCGCTTACCCGAGCGTGCCCTGACGATGGGACTGTAGTTACCACCGTCGTAGATGGTACGGCAGAAACTCTAAGGGAGAGACCACTAGTAGCTATGTAACCACCTGGAGGGGGCATGCCAAACATAGGTGTGAAGGAGGGCCCAACCGGCAACGGCGTCATTGATGGACCCGCAACCGAAGGGGGAGCTACAGCAAATTGAGGCTGCCTCATCACTGGACGAGGAGCCTGTAGTGCAACCAGAATTCGTTTCTGGCCTGCCACTAGTTCAGCCAACACTTCGTGCTGAACAACCTGCGTCTCATCCACACACATGAGCGAATTCCGCAGGGCTTGCATAGCAGGATCAAGTGCGGACTCATCTAGTGCCTCTAGCTTGCCTGGTTCATGGTTGCACCCGTGCTAGCTACAATTCTAGATCTGGCTCTCCTCGCCGCTGACCTCTCTCTAGCCTCTCTCCGCAATCTTCTCTCGTCTCGTGGACCTAACTCTAAGAAATTCAAGGGTCGACTGAGAGCAGTTCTGCGAGTGATTCTAAGGTCGTCCACTAACAACTCTTCCTCACTAGTGCTTGCATCACTCGTGAGCTACAATATGTGTGATCTAAACTAGAATCCACATTGAATCCTACCTCGACATGACACACAACCAACTTGAACCAAGTATGATTCACAACTAATTTCGGTCGGCCTGGACAAAAACAGTTGGAACATCAAATCTATTTTTAGACTGCTCTAATACAGAATGCAATGCAGCAAAGAATATACTACTCTATCTACAATTATCTGTCAGTTGTTAGACAAGTCCGTAACAACTAAATAATCAAAAATAAAAATAACATCTCATGCAGAGATGTATGCTGGATGGCAGTTTATCTATTTAGTGCCACAACGACCAGCTACCGAAATCCAGCCCTTTCCTTGTATCCCTCTCGAGTAGTCACTTTGTGTCGACGTTCCTAGGCATCTGGTTGAGCAGCGTGTTTGAAGGTGTGCAATCCGGCCCACCCCTGTGCCCCAAGTCTATACCGAACCGGGCAGCCCCTGCACCTTGTTTATCCTCACATGCAGCGAGCCTTACACCCGGTTTGATCTGGCTGATCAAGAGGCAGTTTTAGGACAGCCCCCACGGTCCTTAGGCATTATTTAACGCCGCAATGAGGACGACGATCACAGGCAGATTCAACACCAAGTCCCCACCAGAAATATTTAAAGACGGTCTGGAAAGTGTCTGTTCAAAGGGCTGGCATGCCCTGCATTACCTCTATTGTGCAGCAGCAGAACCAAGGACTTGCGGCAAAGCATGTGTGTACTAGTCCCAGCGGGTTGGCATGGTGACTGTGACCCGAGTGCTTCGTCCAGGGCCCTTCAGAGGCATCGACCGTCTCCCACCAGCTTGCTGCCAAGGAAGAATGCCGACTCTCAAGGTTGAGCGCTCGCGACACCTCACATCGAGAGACTCTCAAGACAGAACTCACTTCCTCACAGTAAGAAGTAATGGAGAGGGTAGATAAGGAAGAGAGCATTTATGATGACCGGTCTTTGCCTCAGCACAACCAACTGCAGAATGCGGTTCCACCTCATCTTAAATGCCACATCAGCGAGCTCTCATCATCCAGCGTACACCTCTATGTCACCACATAGCTTCCTGGCGCGCCTACACGACCCTGGGCCGCCTTACATTCCTCGCCAAAGCCTACTGCCCCACACTTCATGCGAAGCACCAAACAGCTATTGGGAAGAATCAATGAAGCGCAGATCGAACCAGCTCCTATACCAAATTGCAAGGAAAATGAGCAATAGCGAGATGCCAATCTCCAGCATACACAATCACATTGAAGGCCAGATAGTATCACTGTATCCAGAAAGCAGAAATGCACCAATATAACACCAATGAAGAATAATAACACTGAAAACCAATGTCAATGAGAGCTTGCTCTCGCCACCACCAACATGAGTGTCCAAGACCTATCTCCTACTTGGCGCTCGGCGCCCAGCCTACTTCCTACACAGATACAGTCTGCCTACTAATTGACGATGCAACTGTTGACGTCAGCAGCCCACAAAGTACTTGAAGATGTCGCCCATGGCAGACCATCGCCAATACCAGGTATGTGCCCTCACATCATCATCATCATCATCATCATCATTCTCTCTCTCCCCTGTCCTCTCCCACATCTTCCCTCTTGTACACCCGAAGACCACCCTTGCGCCTCACTGTAGTCCAAGCCCAACCAGCTATGGAGGCTGGGCTATGGCGCTGCCCTCAGCAGCGCCCTGCTCCTTGCACGACCGCACTCGTTAGCGCCTCGCCTCTCAACACCAGCAGCAGCCCACGAGCGTCCGCTCCAGCAGCGCTGCCGCTAGTATGCGAGTGCCTGAATGAGATCCAGGCAGCGAGCTCTTTCCTATATGGAAAGAGCCTGCCTGCTTCGCAGCCTGGCTGGCCTGGGCCTGGGCCTAGAAGCTTCCGGTAGGCCCCAGGGTGCTGCGCCTCTGGTGCAGCTACTGGGCCTCATTGGGTTGGGCCTCCTAACTGTCTGTGTATGAGGCTGCGATTCTCACCCACGGCCTGCACTTTTCTGTAAGGCACGGAAAGCCATGGAATGTCTCGCTGCTCGGCCTGTGTTTCCCTCAACCAACTGGCGGAACGAAACTGCCTGGACCCCCGAATACGAATTTGATAGCTTAGGGCCTCTCGTGATTTGTTAGGCCCGCCTTCACTTAGGACGGGCAGATATGCAACAGGGGGCCCTTAGGCCTGCCAAGGTCCCAGATCCTCGCATATAATTCCACCTAAAATAGACGGAAGAGGTTGTAGAGGGCGACCGCAGACACAATACAACGTCAGATTTGATTATCAGGATCCCAGCGAAGATCGCTGGTTCACCGGGCATGAGTTAGTTCAGACAGCCCCCCATTATAGTGTCATGCTACGATTGGCCACAGCGAGGGTTGAACATCTATGATCATTAAACTTCTGATTTTCTTCTCGGAGGACCTCGAAATTAGGCCTGCTGGAGTGAATGGATTAACACTGCAAGCTTTCTCAGTCAAGGTTCTGGGGTCCCGAATTACCCCCGTCCAGGCCCCAATGAGTATTAGTGCCTGAAGGATCAGACAGCGTAGGCTGGTAGGCTACAGTTCCTGCAGGTCCAGTTTTGCAGCAGCCTCACACGTAAGTCAGGAACTTTCCCAAAATAGCAATTCAGCAAGGCAGAGGCCAAAGGAGGTCGGAACCGATTGAAGCAGGCAAGCACACCCCACTGCAACTATATATTTTGGGCTACAGTGCCGGAAGGCAGTCGCTTGTTCATTTCGCAAATTTGTGGAAGCGCTGCTGGAGCTTTTGCAAACTAGTGACCTGGGCACAGAAGAGCACTGGAGCAGAATAGCACTGAAGGAGGAAGACGACTATAGCGAGGCGAGACAGGGGAAGACCATCTGCGGGCATAGCCGCCCGAGCTTGGCAAGGCACACCGCAGAGGCATTTGGGGTAGATCTAGGACATTGAGGGAGGAGGAACAGTAGCGAGGAGCATCGAGGGGTGAACAGTGCAAATTGCGAGTGAGAGAAAAGAGAGAGAGTAACAGAGAGAGAGAGAAGGAGATCGGAAGAGGGAAGATTCGGGTACTTACCAGAGTCGTATTGCAGCAGTTCTGACCGCTTAGTCCCAAATTTTTTCAATTGCATATTATTGCAATTTGAGCGAACTTCTAACTGGCACTACTCATGGCCGTCGCTCAAGCTTGTGTGAGCTTAATCTGAAAGCTCTCAATTTTCATGTGGTATTTTGAGTAGAATCTTGCCAGTTTCATTGCACACTACTCAAATAGTAGTGCATTGAGCCTCACTGCTCGTCACCTTGAGCACACACTCACACAATGAGAGATCACACGAAGTCCACACTGGAGACCAGAGATGCAAAATCCAGATAAGCGCAGCTCAACAAATTATCATGTTAAGCAGTCTCAGAGTTCCAGTCACCAGCGCTCATCAGCGCAGAGTTCAGCAACCCAGCTCCAGCATCCTCATCCAAGGTAGGTGACTCTCTTCTCTCTCTGTCCCCCTCTCTCTCCCTGTCTCTCCTTCATGCATGCGCTCTCTCGCTTTCTGTTGCATGCTGTGCCTGCACACGTGCCCCATTTGAGGGGCCCGACGGTTGCTGAGGGGCCCCCAGGCCGTGTACCATACAGCACGCGCCCTGGAGGCCCACGGCGGCCCTTCAGGCCCTAGGTAGCACACTAGTTAGATAGGTTTAGTTTACTTACCTTTTTGCGTGTATGTGCGTAGCACACTAGTTAGATAGGTTTAGTTTACTTACCTTTTTGTGTGTATGTGCGTAGCACACTAGTTAGATAGGTTTAGTTTACTTACCTTTTTGTGTGTATGTGCTGTCTTACTTTGCCTGTTCAGGTGCCGTCTCGGACTTGCAGCCCCAAGGCCGGACCTCGGGACTGTGTACACCGGAGGCAGGCCCGAAACGAGGCCATATTTATAAATCATCACAAGAGAATTTAAGTCAACAAATAAAAGATGCAAGAAAAAAGTTATCTGAAGTTGAAATAGACTACCAGTTAAGAATCAAAATATCTCAGATATGTGCCGAGCTTAATATAGATGGATTAAGCGCTACAAATAGCTGGGAAGCGACCGGGCAAGGACAGTTCGAGTAGCTCACTTCTGGAGCGACACGCTGCTGGTTGAAGGCAGCGCTATTCTGGCGCTGCGTTGCGGAGTAGGGAGTAGAGGTGTAGTAGGGAGAGAGAGGCGGAGGCCTTACCTGCAAACGGAGACCTTACCTGGCGCCATAGCCGGGCTCCACGTGGTACCTGCACACAACGACGACCACAGTCAGTACGGTGACAGCTACCTGCAGTGAGATAGCACGGAGGACATCATCTTCTTCTTTTTCCTCCTCCATCTCTCTCTCTCCCTTCTTCTTCTTCCTCCTTCCTTCTCCTTCTTATCTCTTCTTCACATACGAGAGTGAGAGAGTTTATCGGTAGGAGATACAGGCTGAGGCTATGTTGGGCACATTGCCCAGGATCTGATTCGACATTTCTGGGACAGACATTGATTGGACACTCGCAAGGGACTATTTTTGGGACTTCGCTATCGCGATCTTGGCCTACTCCCTTGCCTCCTTCTCCTTCGTCTCGTCTCTTTCCCCCATCTCTCATCCATGGCATCTCCCCATGTATATGTGTGAAGGAGGGACCTTTCTTCTGTGATTGCGGTCCCTCCTCCCCTCTCACAGGTGTGATGTGTGATGGATGTCGAATCAGTCCAGATCAGATCAGATCTTCTCTTTACATTTTTCCGCTGCACCACTCTTGTATGTATCGGAATGAACATTGCTTGTTGATGCTACGCTGACCTTGCATTGTCCATTTCAGTCCTTTTCATCACATTGCGGATCCTTGGCTCACTACGCATTGTCCCATTGGGCATGCGTCAGTTTGGTATCAGAGCACCGCTTGTGAATCAGGACAGCCTGATCTGACACAAGTGCGGGGACAATCAAAGATTGATTGATTGGTTGATTGATTAGATTACACTAATTAGTCCCCAAAATCACGGATTTTTGACCTAGCTGCCGAAATCGAATTTTTTTTCTTTTCTTTCGGACTTCATTTTCCGGCTATTTTAATTTTGTGGAAAATCGCAATAGCGTAGCATCTGAAATTTCGTCTTTTTTTGAAATTCCGGTGTTGGAGGTCCAAAATATTACGGATTTTTTTTTTTGATTCATCTTTTCCTTCGCAATTCCCATTAATCCCAAATTCCGAAATTTTCTTTCTGAAATTCATTTTTCAAACTTATTTCCGAAAATCTTCGTGTATTCACGCATTCCGGGGCTAACGGAAATTTTGAAATTGACCGTTATTCCCAGAATCGGAAATTAATTTTTTTACGGGAAATCCCTCTGCAGACATTTGTTTTCAAATTGCGCATACTCTCACTTGAGAAATTCCGAATTTTTTTTGTGTCTTGGAATTCTCTGAACTTGCGGAATTTTTCTTATTTTCGCAGTTCAGTTACTTTGATCATCTCCATTCGTTATTATTCTTTTGCAGCCTGAAATTCGATTTTTTTCTCGAATTACCTGCTGTGGGGAAATATAGGAGACCTACCGAACTTGCAATCGAGAAATTTTATTAATTAAAAATTATTTAATATATTTTTGCAAGGAAGATGAGCAATAGCGAACTTCAGCAATCAAACAGCATCATACATATGAGTCCAGATAGTCTTGACCTCGAACCAACAGCAGAATTGCATCACGAGATTCACCAAATAAGAACACACCAAGAGTTCATAATTGACAATGCTGAAATAGTCCCATCATCATCAACGAATAACCAGAGTTGATATCCTATCTGGCGCTCGGCGCCCAGACTACATGTGGCAGATACTATCTAGCCTACACTACGATGCCGAAAGATGACATCAACAGCTTTCCCGAAGTACGAGCGCACGCTTCCAGCACCAGGTATGTCTCTCGCCACACTCACAACCTCGTTCACCAACGCACAGATGCCACTAGCACCCAAGGACCGCCCTGCGCCTCACCCAGCCTACAGCAGCACAGCTCGGCTATGGCTGCGTGCTCCTTCCCTGCTCGCCCATGAGAGCGTAGGCGCCAGCCAGCAAATAGCGCAGCAGCGCTTGCGCAGCATACAGCCAGCACCTGAATGCCGAATGAGGAGGCAGGCCCTTTGCTATATCGAAGTGGCCTGCTTGCGTCCAGTTCCAGGAAGCTTCCAGTAGGCAGTAGTTTGATCGAGTCCCATGGATGCATGCGTGCGGCCGCGTTCTATAACTATTATAAGCAAAATCAGGAGGAGGGTATGTACCTAGTTTATGTCTCTGCTGCAGGCGAGCCGGTGAAAATGCCGCCGGAGATAGAGGGAGTAGTTGCTAAGTACCCTGATCTATTTGAAGAGCGGACAAGGGTTGTTGAGAGGGGGGTCGTCCACGCGATAGAAATTATCCCAGAGTCTAGTATCCCGAAGGGTAGGATCTATCGGATGTCTCCAGGCGAGCTCGATGAGCTTCGCCGACAGCTCAAGGAACTCATAGAGAAGGGTTGGATCCGGCCGAGTGTCTCTCCTTATGGATCTCCGGTACTATTCGAACCTAAGGAGGGTACACTCAGAATGTGCATTGACTATAGGGGCCTCAATGCCATCATTGTAAAGAACCGAGAGCCCCTACCGCGCATCGATGATCTGTTAGATAGAGTGCAAGGGTGTCGGTACTTCAGTAAGATAGATCTGAAGTCCGGGTACCATCAGATTGCAATCCGRCCYGAGGATCARYACAAAACCGCYTTTCASACSAGGTACGGTCTGTACGAGTTTGTGGTGATGCCTTTCGGYCTKTGCAATGCTCCTGGCACCTTTCAGCACGCTATGAATCGGATATTCCATGACTACTTGGATAAGTTTGTCATCGTGTACCTCGATGACGTACTTATTTTTAGTAAGACTGTCGAGGAGCATGTTGCACACTTGGACAAATTCCTTAGACTCCTGCGACAACACAAGTTCAAGATCAACGGGGAGAAGTGTGAGTTTGGCCGCACCCGTGTCTTGTACTTGGGTCATGAGATTTCCGCGGAAGGGTTGAAGCCCGATGACGCGAAGGTGGCCAGCATTCGCGACTGGCCGCGTCCTCAGTCCGTTATTGAGATGAGATCATTCTTAGGGATGACAGGCTACTATCGCAACTTCGTGGAGAATTATAGTATAGTTGGCGCCCCTTTGACTAATCTGACCCGCCTTGACACCCCATGGGGGTGGACTGAGAGATGCGAGGCTGCTTTCAGACACCTGAAGCATGCGTTGACGCATTACGAAGTCTTGAAACTTACTGATCCTGATAAGCCTTTATAGTAACTACGGATGCTAGCCAATATGGCATAGGCGTCGTACTTGCACAACAGGAGGGGAAAAAGTTGAGGCCAGTAGAGTACATGTCCAAAAAGATGCCCTCTCAAAAGTTGGGAAAGTCCACCTATGTGAAGGAACTCTATGCGGTGTACAAGGCTCTGACCCATTGGAGACACTATCTCCTTGGGAGGTTCTTCATCCTCAGGACTGATCATCAGACCCTGAGATGGATGAGAACTCAGTCGGTACTCTCTGACGCTCTCAAGCGTTGGATCGAAGTCATAGAGCAGCCCCAGTACATGAAGGGCGAGTACAACAAGGTTGCTGATGCCTTGTCGCATAGACCAGATTTCTCTGGTGCGCTGGTCACTGAGTTTGGGCTTGCGGACAATGTTGCGCAGTCTTTGGTGGAAGCCTATTGCGAGGACCCGTTCATGGCCGAGATTATACGCAGACTCGAGGCGAAAGACAATAACTTCCGCCGAGTTCGAGTTGGTCAACGGCCTGTTGTTCCTTGAGAAGGCAAGGAATAAAAGGTTGTGTTCCGAATAGCGAGTCTTTGCGTAGTTTGTTTTTAGGAGAATGTCACGATGCCATCGGACATTTTGGCTTTAAGAAAACTGCAGCCAATTTGCTGCAGAAGTTCTGGTGGCCCACTATGATGAAAGATGCGATGCTGTATGTGGAGACTTGTCAAGTCTGTCAAAGGGACAAGCCACGTACTCAGGCTCCTCTTGGGCTCTTGAAGCCGCTTCCGATTCCGGACAGGCCTGGTGAGAGTCTGTCCATGGACTTCATGGATACTCTGATCACCAGCAAGAGCGGAATGCGTTATATCTACGTCATTGTGGATAGATTTAGTAAGTATGCTCGGTTAGTAGCAATGCCGAAAACAACAAAGACGGAGTACGTGATACAAATGTTCAAAGAGAACTGGGTTAGAGACTTTGGTTTACCGAAGTCTATTGTCAGTGACAAGGATGTCCGGTTCACCAACGAGTTGTGGAAGGCCGCTGCTGCAGAGCAGGGCATTGCAGATGACTTCTCGGAATCACCCGGAGGCCAATGGACAGGCCGAGCAACTGAATCGCGTTGTACAACACCTGTTCAGGCACTACATCAAGCCCAACCAGGTGGACTGGGATGAGAAGCTTGCTCTCGTCGCCAGCTTGTATAACAACGTTGTACACAACACCACCGGGATGAGCCCAAATAGCTTACTGCTAACATTTAAACCAAGACTGCCCCTAGACTTCCTTCTCCCTGAGAATCAACCCACTGCTGCACCAGGTACCTTAGAATTTGCATACCGCTATGGACAGAAGATGCAGCAAGCTGTAGAATAGATGCAGAAGGCGCAGACTGCAGTGATAGAGTCTGAAAATAAACACCGCCGGCCTTCTACATTTCAGGTTGGGGATAGGGTCTGGGTTAAGCGTTCAGAACTGGGACAGGAGCACGGGATCTCCCGCAAACTCATGCCCAATACTTTGGAACCTGGGAAGTCTTGGACATCGTTGGGACAGATCCGGATGGGCCATCTTATGTTATCCAGATCCCTGGTCATCTCCGTACTTACCTTGTCTTCCACGCATCCAAGCTGGCACCTTTCGAAGAGACTGATCAGTTTCTCGTCGCTCAATGCTGCCCCCAACCATGGACGGAGAGGTGGACAGTGGATCACAGAGAGCTGTCGGTATCAAGACCAGCAGGCAGGGGACGTCCTCCGAAACCGAAGCTGCACTACCGCGTTCGGTTCCGGCATCACACTGATCCGAAGGAGGACCGCTGGTTCACCAGGGAAGAACTCATGCAGACAGCTCCTCAAGTTGTAGCCCAGTACGAGAGATCTCTGCAGAAGGGAAAGCGCCCCATGGTTGAAGACTGAGCTTCTCAGAGGACTGTTGAAGCTAAGGAGGAGGGAATGCGAGGCC